CTCCAAATTCAGCTCTCTATCCACTGTACAAGAACCACAGGGAAGGGAGCGAGTGACTCTCCTAGGCAGGGTGGCCCACACAGCGCAGCTTCCGGGTGCTGGGGAGGGAATTGCTTCATTAGGAGGCCTGACTCCCTCAGGCTAGACTTGTTGCCGGAGCTATGTCTAAGAAGGGTGTTGGGTAATCATATGGTGTGACCCTTCCCCATTCCCCCATCCGGGCTCCTTAACATTTTTGTCTCAGTGAAACCCTGTTAAAAAGAACATCCTCTTGAAGGGGACATGGAGAGGTGTTACAGAAGGACAGCATGCCATCTGAGGACATGTTGAGGAATGGTTGTGGTTTCCAGGCAGTTAGCCTCAACCTTCCCTCCTGGCCCATGAGTATATCAATCTCTCTCTCTCTCTCTCTCTCTCTCTCTCTCACACACACACACACACACACACACACACACACAGAGCTACTGAAGGCAATTATCTTGATTTCCTCTACCTTGGGGACAACTCTGCACATGGCCCCAACCTCTCTTAAGAGGTCCTGCTCCTCACCCCAGCTGCCACGCTCAAATGGAGGACTGAGATGACCGAGACTCTGTCGCAAAAAAAAAAAAAAAATCTTCCTCAGCAGAAGCCAAGATTCTAGAAGAGAGCCCACTCTAGGGAAATTGCCTGTCAAATTATTTCAAGGAAATGGCATTTCGACAGCAGTCACAGGAGGTTTTCTTCCCACTTCCTGCCATCTATTTCAATCTCTCTCTCTCTCTCTCTTCATCTTCCCATCCTACCTTTCTCACCCCCCCCCCATTTCTATGGTATGTTCCCTCCTCCTGGGTCAACTGAACCTTTCCTTTCTTATTGACTGTGCCTTTGAAAATCCCCAAGCCTTTAGCCATTTAAAATTCCTCCCACATACCCTGCCAATTGCAAATTCCCCTTCCCCAGACTCCTGATATGACAAGGTATGGAATGTTGCAAGCTGGTTGTGTCAGGAAAGGAGGGCAACTAAACTGGCAGCTACGGGAGGACCTGGAACCTCATTTCCAACATTTGCAAGTCCCCTCCCCACCCCCCCAACTCAGGAGGCCAGGGAACAAACGATGGTTGACTGCACTGGGGAATCAGGACACCTAGGTTCTTAATCCCATCCCTGACACTAGTTAGCTATGTGACCCTGGAAAAACGTTTTTGCTTCTCTGGGCCCCATTTTCCTTATCTGTATGAGTAGGGTTGGGCTACTATATTTTTACCTTTCTTTAAATCCACAGCTCTTAGTGCCTTATACATTTGTGTTGACTAACGGACCAACCACAGAAGTTGGAGGAGCCCTTCCTGCTCTACAATTCAATGACTTTAAGATTTCTTCACTCCCATATGAACACAGACTCCCCCACCCCCACCCCAACACACATCCTTCAGCTTCTCTTTGTGTGGTCTTACTCCATTAGATTGTAAGCTCATTGAGGGCAGGGACTGGTTTTTTTTTCTATTTTTTGCATTTGTATTCCCAGTGCTTGGCACATAGTAGGTGCTTAATAAGTGTTTATTGACAATTGATTTGTATGTATGCATTGGTGAGTGCAACACAACAAACAAACATACACACATGAAAACCCCAGGACATATGTATACATGACTCATGAAAGCCCATTCTGCCACAAGACACAAAGTTCCAGTTACTCAGCTAAGAGCTACCCAAACCTACTCAGCTAAGATCACAGGGCTAGTCAGGCAGAAATTGGTGGTGAGACCACAGGACCCAGTCACAGCATATCACAGTATCATAGGATCATAGATGTAGAATCTAGTCTGACTCCCTCATTTTACAGAAGAGGAAAATGAGACCCAGGTTGGTGAAGTCACTTGCCAAAGTCATGAAGGTAGATATACAAAAGTGAAATGACCCCACCCCTCAAGGAAGTTTATGAAATAACATTTGTAAAGTGCTTTGCATAGTGCCTGGCATACAGTAGGCACTTAATAAATGCTTGCTCCCTACCCTACTCCCAATCAAGCAAGACAACATTTGTGTATACATATAACCTTGGGCCTTCCCCACCTCCAATCACCTTGTATCAGATGGATAGATAGATAGATATAGATAGATTAGATAGATAGATAAACAGATGGAGAGATAAATAGAGATAGATAGAATGTACATAAGGTGATTGGAGGTAAGGAGGGTCCAGAGTGATATATGCAAGTAGGTATACACACTTGTTGTCTACATACAGAGAAGGATGTATTTGATCCTACAGGTAACATAGGTAATAGTTATAGGGCCACCAAAATTTAATGAGAAGGGGCATGGCAGAGTAAGATCAGTGCATTAGGAAAATCACTTTGAGGGGCAGCTAGGTGGTGCAGTGGTTAGAGCACCGGCCCTGGAGTCAGGAGGACCTGAGTTCAAAACCGTCCAAACACTTGATGCTTATTAGCTGTGTGCCCCTGGGCAAGTAACTTAACCCCAATTGCCTAAAAACTAAAAAAGAAAGAAAGAAAGAAAATCACTTTGATAGTTGTGTAGAGAAGAGATTGGAGAGGAGAGAGACTTGTGTCAGGTATAATAATTTACTGATTGCTATAGTGTGGATGAGCACCTGAGCCAGAGTGGTGTCTGGGTGAATGGAGGGAAGGAGATGGATGAGAGAAATGTTGTGGAGGTAGAACCAGCAAGATTTTTCAACTGATTCGTATGTTCGATGAGTAAATGGCAGAGAATGACTGAGCTCAGGAACCTGTATGCCTGGAGGGAAGAGGGGAAAGATGAACTCCTTTTAGGATATGTTGAGTTAGAGATGTCAAGGGGCCATGCGCTTCAAAAGGTCCAGTCGGCAGTTCTTGATTCGAGATTGGAACTCAGGGGAGAAATTGGGGCTGTTTATATAGATCTGGGAACCATCTACTTAGAAGTGATAATTAGATCCATGAGGGTTGATGAGATCACTGAGAGAGTGTTCGGAGAGAGGAGAGAAGGAAGCCCAGGACAGAACTTTGGAGCATATCCACAGTTAGGAGAATGAGGCAGAGTGGTCAGATAGACAGGAGGAGAACCAAGGAAGAGCAATGTTTCAAAAACCCAGAGGGGAGAGAATAGGTATCTGGGTACAGAGAGTAGTCAGCAATGTCAAACGATGCTGAGGAGCCTGAGAAAAGGTGATCAAATTTATCAGTTGAGTAGCAAGTAGCAAAGACAGGATTCAAGCTCAGGTTCTCTGACTACAGATCCAGGACTCCTTCCACTATCCCATCCATGCTGCCTCCCTCGTGAGGTACACCTCAATGTGCCCATTTGGGTTAAATCTTAAACCCACACTTAACTGATAAACTTGTAGTACTTACCATTTGTCTCATGAATTTTGGTCCTTGATTATACCTAATTTTGTACTTTTTTTATTCACTGCCCTGCATATATATATATATATATATATATATATATATATCATATATATATATCATATATATGTATGTATGTATATGAATATGCATCTTGTCTTGCAAACTAGTTCTGAAAAGCATTGTATCTCAAAATCATATATACCTCTACCCTTCCAATTGCTGCCCAGTCTAGTACCAGCTTCATGGTGGCTGCTTAACGTTTATTGCTGAGTTAAACTGAACAAAGCTGAGGCTGAAAACCCTGACATAATTTGTAGGGTTGTATCATTTCAAATTTTATCTCGATAGAAAATTGTCTTTCATTATCATTGAAACTGGGATTTTGCTTTTATGTTTCAAAGAGCATGGAGGACCCCTCAGATGGCCTAACACTAAGCTAGTAGAAAGAACACCAGATTAGGAGACATGAGACCCCAGAGGATGAATATCTAGTTCTGTTACTGACTGGGCAGCCTTTGGAATGTCATTTCAGTTCTCTTAGGTTAAGCCTTAGTTTCCTCATCTGTAAAGTGAGGGGGTTGGGCTAGCTGACTTCTAAAGCTTTTTCCATCCCTAATATTCCCTGTGACTTTAGGCAAGGGAAGTGTCATCCATATGATGAGAGGGCTGGGTTAGATGAACTCTAAGGTCCTTTCCAGCTATAAATCCTATAGAAAAGTGTCATGTTTTAGCACAGGGCCAACAACCCTGGAGGAGATTGAAAGAGGGTGGGCCAAAGGCTTCAACAGACAGCAAATTGAAGTGATTTGCTTCATCTGTCTCTGCCCTGAGGGACTCAAGTAGGGGGGCATTCAAGTGGCACGAATTAATCCAGGAATTTACTTTAATGTTCTGTCAAGTGGCCAGGCTGCCTCCTGGAAAAGCCAGCCTGTTGATGAGAATACCAACATCCTCCCTTCCAGACACATGCAGCATCTATCCCCTTTCCAAGCAGGGTCGCCAGCCAGGGTGGATGACCTCAGCTACTTATGGGCAGGAAGGGCTTCTGGGTAGAAAAAAAAAAGGCCCCAGAAGGTGAGACAGGTGTCCCCACCGGGTTGGAGTCGAAGGTGAGTGGAGGGAAAGTGGTGCTCATCAGAAATACATCTCACTGGGTGTGGATAGAGGGAGGGAAATTCCCGTTTGGGAATATGATCGGGATAAATCCTTCCTCAGTGCCCTACCTAGACGAGGCTATGCTTTTAGCCGTCAACCATTCAGTCTCAGCAATTTTCAGGTCCAAAGGGAAATTCCCTTAAGATACCGGTTGTGCTAGATAGCTTTTATGTTGACGATTAAGTAAAAGAACACAGCATGGGAGCTGGGAAGAGGGGAGAGAGGAGCGGGGGAAGGGAGGCAGAGATGTAAAAGGCTCTGAGTTATTTTTACCAAAACTTGGGATCTCAGAACAGAAGCCTGAGAGGAAGAGCGAGACAAGAAGACAAAAAGTTAAGGGCTGAAGGGGGAGGGGGGGAGGGAAGAAGGGAGCGGGGAGGGGGGTAGGCGTGTGTGGCTGTGTGCGCCTATGCCTCGCTGTCTGACTAACTGGCCCCTTTCCAAGGTGATTTCCCATAAACCACATGCTCTGAGAGGCCGCTTTAAAAGGCCGAGCCCGCCTGGGCCAGGGGCGCTCAGCTCGGCTCCAGAAAGTGAAAGTTGGACTCGGGTCTCCTGCAGCCCCCAGCCCCACAGAGCCGAGCCGAGCCGAGCCGAGCGTCGCCACTGGATTACCCCTCTCCTCTGCTTTCCGAGAGGCCGCGTGGAGCCGGCCCCCTGCGCCCCGCTTCGGCCACTTAGGAGGGTGCTCTGCACGGCTCAGCAAGGCTCCGCTCGCTCCGACTCCGGCCCCGGGGACAGCAGCCCTGATGACCCCACGGGGCGCAAGCGGGAGCTGCCCACTCACGGTAAGCGCCGGCTCCGCGCGCCTGTCCCGAGAGCCCCCAGGCCACGGAGCTCCCAGCTAGCCAAAGGCTCGCTCGCTCTCTTGCGTGCCTACCATCTTTCTCCTCCCGCCCCTTCTTTTCTTCATTTGCTCTTCCCTGATTTTCCCCGATTCTGAGCAGCCACTGGCAGGAAACATGGGCGCTACGCTCCTTTAGGGGGTCTTTCTACTGTCTCCTCCTCCACCCCAGACCCCTCCTGCCATTGCCGGGTTAACGCTGCCTGTTGATCAGTTAGATGCAGGGGTGGCTTAAAGTTTGTGCAAAGTCCGAGAGGCTCGGGGAACTGCTGCCCAGAGAGGTATGTATCCTAAAGATGCTTACGCTTCCCATTCTCTTGAGAGGAAGCCGGTGGCACCAGGGCAGCGGGTAAGGAGGGCCTTTGGCTAATAGACTTAGGGTTTGGAACCCCTCTGCGTGGTTTGGACTCTGCCCCAGACCCCTGCTAAATGAGATGGGGGCTTTCGAAGCTCAGCTCCCTCTTCTGTTTTATCTGTCTTCCTGCCTGGTATCTTATCTTGGGGCTAAAGAAGCCAGACCGTTAGAAGGGGGACGGGGGCAGAAGGCTACGGTGCTTGTAGCTGAAGTAGGCTTTGGTCAGCAGCCAAGTAAGCGCTTCCTAGCTCATAGGATGCCCAGGTCGGTGCCAAGCAACCTGACTTCTGTAGCGAATAGAGGAAAGTTCGCGCAGGAAACTTTGGAGAGGCAGGCAGGGACATGTCTCCAGGAACTGGCTAGTCTGGGGGAAATTGAGTGTTATTGTGGGCCCCAGAGCTTACCCCCCTGCTAACTCTTTGAGGGACTAGAAATCTTTCATGGGACAGCTTAGCGCCCCCCCCCCCCATAATTAGGTCTGAAAGTGACTAGAGAAAGTGGAAATGAATGTGGGTCCAGTTAGGCTGCAGTCTAAGGCAAAGAGGCAAGAAAAAGAGTAGGATTAGAGTAGGCACTGTTGAAGGATGTGCCAGAGAGAGGTTTTGGTAGTCTTCCCCCACACACACAGAGGCTGGTGTCTGTAGACAGGCCAGCCTAGCTCAGCTCTGCAAGCAGTGCATTGGCAATAGCATCCTCTTCTGAGAGATGGAATGAAAAGCTTCAAGGCTTCTCCTCCCAGATAGGAGCATAAAGATGCTTAAATGTATACGGGTTCCTGGTGGCTTTCGAGAAAACTCTCAACCTACCCCCTTCCCCAATTACTCTGATGGAGCTCTCTAGAGCACTGAACACAAAGGGGATGCCGATGGAGAACTGGGAGGGAAAAGAGCAACAAGGAAGATCTGATAATAAATGGGAGAAAGGGATTGACAGAGAACCAGCATCCTGACTGAGAGAAAGAACAAGGACTGAAAGAGAAAGAGATGGAAAGATAGGGGTGGGATTGAAAGAGGTGAGGGGCAGAAAGGAGGCATGAGATAACACTGGTGAAAGGAGAGGAAGGAACTGGAGGTGGGATAGCATGCAGAGAAGCAAAGACGGGAAATGGAATTGGGGGAGGGGGAATGGGAGGAAGGAACCTGAATGAAGGGTGGAAGGTCAGAGATTTTGAGAAGAGAAGTTGAAAGAGGATGGGCTGAAGCTTCTTTCCACTTTGGCCTCAACTGGGCTATAAGTCGCTGTTCTGAAAGGGTGGGTAGGGATACAGCTATCTGAGCTACTAGCCCTGCCTGTAGCAGATTCCTTTCTGAGCAAGGGAGGTTGGGAGGGGAGAGGGAAGAGCGCTGGCCAGATGCAGGCTAGAAAGTTAACCCTTGGGTGCCCATTCACATTTTAGTAAAGGATAAATGCTGGAGGGTGGAGAAGCATTGGCGCTTCTTCTAATACAGTCACTTTGTTAGCAAAACCACAGCCACACTCAGGGCCAGCCTTGGCAGATAGGAGGTAGTTGGTTGCCTGTAAATATGGGGGATGCTCCTCTATCCAATACACTGCCCCTCCCATTACCACTATTGCATAAATTTAATCAGAAACAGTTCATTCCATTGAGTTAAGCATTGCCCTCTCCCTCTGGTCCTTTTCTAAAGTGCAAATACTCCCAGGAAATTGGAGAATGAGTGCCTGGCCTGCCATGTGAGACAGAGTATGTCACAGAGAGGGAGTGTTATGTGACAAATAGAGCTTAGGACTTAGATTCAGGAAGAACTGATTTCAAAACCCATCTCAGAAACTAGCTGCGACCCCAGTCAAGCCACATCTCTGGGCCCCAGCTTCATCACTTGTAAAAATGAGAGGGTTGGACTTAATGACCTTTAAGGTCCCTTCCAGCCCTAACTAATTGATCCTATAATTTTTCTGGGAGATGAGATATAGGTATAGAGCTCTAGGGAGCGGAGGTGGTGTGGTGGTAGTAGTAGTGGTGGTGGGAGATAATGTCTCTCCTCCAACATCATGGATTTTTCAAGGGTCAGCTCTGATTGCCTTTTCAACCATCAATATCTTGAGCCTTTCCATAGCAGGGCCTTGCCTTGGTATTCCAAAATCTTGAACAGAAATGTGTTCTATAACTCCACTTCTTTCCAGTCCCACTTTAACATTTACCAAGTTAGTAACACTGATAGCAACATCCCAGCTTTTCTTGATACTCTGCCCCTCCATAGAATTGTCCTTAGCCTGGGAGAGGGTCATGTTGGCCATGCCTTCTGCTTATGATTTTACTTACTAAAGTGAGCCCTGAGATTTCAGAATGCCAGATCCACGATGCTGGCTCCCAAACCTGAAGAGGGGCATAAAGGGAGCTTTACTGGATCAGTCCCTGGATCCTATTTTACTCCTGATCTACAGGATCATAAATTTAAAATTGGAAGGGACCTCAGAGGCAAACAAGTCTAATCCCCCTTTTTTATGGATGAAGAGATTGAGGCCCAGAGAGGTTAAGAGACTTACCTAAGGTCACACAGCTAGTAAATGCTAGAAATGGCATCACCTACTACTTACTCCAAACGTCCATGGCATCTCAGTGGACCAAGTGATTGTCCTTCTCCCCAACGAGTACTGTGTCTTCTAGTCATTCCTGTTCTGGGGTTGTCACCAACATTTGATCCTTTGGTCATACTATAACTACATCCTCACCTCTTCTCTATTTGAATCCTACCCATCCTTTAAGGACCAGATCATGTCCCACTTTCTCCATGAAGCCTTCTTGTTACTTCCAGTGCATTCTACTCTCTTTCTTCCCTAAATACCCATAGCACACAGTGAACCATATATTTTGATACTTTTGGAGAAATCATCATATGCTAGGTTTGCATAATTCTCTATATGTTTTTCTAATTTTCTCTAGTTGTTTCATGTGCTTAAAATTTGTCTCCTCCATAGAGCTGTTGTGAGGATTAAATGAGATAACTTACGTAAAGAGTGTTGCAAAGTTTAAAGACTATATAAATGCTGTCTGCTATTATTATCACCTACATTATAAACTCTAGCCCTTTCTTCCGTTCTCCTTTCCATTCTTTGTTTCCTCTTTTCTTTAGCTCTGCCCCCATTTCTCACTGTCTTATCTCCAGCCCCTTCTTTCTTTCCCTCTGTCATCTTTATCCCTTCTTTCACCACTTCCTTCTCCCTCTTTCAGCCCCTTCTTTCCATCTCTCACTCCTTCCACCCCTACCTTTTCCTCTAAGTCTGGCTTTCAGCTCTGTCCACTCCTTCTCCCCTCGTGCCTTATGCATTTCTTGGATCCCCTACAGCATGTGCATTGTGCTGCACACATAGCTGAGGAGGGAGGAAAAGACCTGTCCCTGAGTTCCAGGAAAGTTCTCTGTCCAACCCCAACATTGTCTATTCCTGGGGTGGGGGAATGGGACACACTAGTAGTTAGCTTGCTATTTGTCAGGAAGGTACACCAAAGAGCCCAGGGAAAGCCTTTGTGTCTCCCCTTCCAATCCCTACTTGGAGAAAGTGGAACCTAAGATAGTAGGGGAGGTAGGGAGAGAAGATATCAGAGATCCAGAGAGATGAGAAGCCTGTGAGGAAGAGAAGGATGCCAGAAGTGTTTTGTCTCCTGCCCAACTCTCATGGAGGATCTTTAGAGGATGGAATAGTAGGGCAGGTCAGAATCCTCAGGGAACATGCTAGGGAGAAATCTGGGAAGTGATAAGAAAGGAAGCTCTATGTGATAGATGCCAGCTAAAGAATGGCCTAGGGAGCCTGGCACCTCTGGTTATGATTAATCTGTTGGGTTGGGTCTGATGGCACACCCATTGCCCTGGGGTCTTTGGCAAGGGGATTGACTCCACAATGAAACTAAGTCTGGACAATAATATTTTCCAGGGGAAGAGCCAGAGGCTAGCCTGGAATGGGCAAAGTTGAGAAAAAGGGAGGAGGGTTGGTGTGAGAAAATATTCCAGGATCTCCAGGTCAGAAACTAGAGTAGGATCTGGGTCTCAGGGGGCTAGGACATCTGTCAGTTACTGAGGTCACAAAGTACCTAGCACTGTTCTAAATGGTTTGAGAACAAAATAAAGGATAGACACAGCTCTTGTCTTCAAGGAGCTTATAAAGTAATGAGAAAGATAAGATAGGCAGGTGTTGTCATTGGTAGAACAGAATGGAATTAAGCACCACTTGAGCTAATCTGAGCAGTTTAACTGGCTTTGGACTTGTAGTTCAAGAAGGGGGGACTCGTGTGACACAGATGTGCAGAGTGAGGCTACAAAGGCATGGGGGATTTGGATTTGTGGGAACCAGATCTTTTGGGGGGCGAGGGGAGCAAGAAGCTGACCCTGCTGTTGATAGGATTAAGACTATTGTCACTTGATTTCTGAGGAAAACAAAAGATTTCAGGAGTGACTAAGGAGTAGGGGTCAGATTGACCCGAGTCATGGTTAAGGTCTTAGCTGCCAGGAAAGACTTAGGATCCCTTCTGGAATCTCTCTTGGCCTTCTCTATTTCAGACATGGCTGGGCTTTTGGCTTCTGCTGGCTTATCTCCTGGTGGTCTGGAGCTTTCCCTCTCATGGGCCAGAAACTTGTAACCGTCTTATTGGAGAAGGTCACCTAAGGATGCTGCAGGAGCTGGTGAGTATATGTCCAGGCTCTCACCCCCGCCCCCAACCTCCTTCACCCTTTCCCTTGGGAAATTGGTGTAACTATAGGATGGGGGGGTTAGGGGAGCAGGTCCAAGGGAAGAGGAGCTCTAAGGTAGAGAGAGGCAGGCGGAGACAAGTACTTACCCATCCTCCCCTCCCCCTCGTCTTATGGGAAGGGAGAGGAAGGAATGGCAGCATGTTCATCTTGAGCTTGGGGGATAGGGTGTGAAGGTTGTAGATGGCAGAAATGGAGGGGAGGGGAGAAGAGTTGTACATTAAGGTAGAAGTCCTGGAGCCACAATTGGGGTGGAGAGACAAACTGGGCTTTGTCCCAGGGCTCAGTGCTGACAGCACCTGTCAGTCCTCTACCTAAAAACAACAGAGCATAGTGCCTGGTTATTGAGAATAATTAGTTAAAATAAGAAATTACCTCCCTCGGGATGCCCTGCTTCACCCCTTCCCCACCGTCCCTGGCATCTGTCTGCCCCCCACCTCTCATTTTCTCAGCCCTTACCCCCAAGCCCACCAGCTGAGAAGACCAAGTTTGAGATCTTCCAGGTTGCAAAAAGTCCTAGTTACAACTTTAAAATGTCTATTATTTGTGGTCCTTGACTTTCCCCTGGCTATGCAGAGGACTGGGGGAGAAGGGAGCCCTGAGCCTTGCCTCCTTGTACCCTTTTGTACAATGTCCTGAGGATTCCCTGACCCTTGCCATTGCCTTAGTTAATGATTGCCCAGAAAAGTAACCCCAGGACATCAGCAAATATGTCTGGTCCAGGAGGGAACTTCCAGGGCCACCAAGGGGTAATTACTCCACACTGACTAGTGCATGCAAACATTGTCGCCAGGATGGACCCAAATGTACACTGGCCTGATGCTGCCATTCCCGCCCTAGAAGACATAATTTTTGATCTGTGATGAAAAGGAAGGAGAGGTGTAATATGGATGTCAGGAGGAAAGAAAGCTCTCAGATCATACTTCTAAAAGAGCCCACATGTTCTAGTAGAAATGCAGCATATCTAACGTCAAAGGAGCTGAGTTCAAATCTTGGCTCTCCTGTTTCTTATCTCTGGGACTTTGGGCAAGGCTTTTCACCTTTTGGGGCCTCAGTTTCCTCACCTCTAATGTGAGAGATTCGAATGAGGTGATCTCTGAAGTCCCTTCCAAGAGGATTGAAGGATCTTCCCTCCACTCCCCAGCTCTGCCCTGGAGTTTTAGGGACCAGGATGCCCCTCTATAATCCAGTCCTCTCTCACTGATTCTTGGGATTTAAAGGACCCTCAGAAATCATCTGGTCCAACCAATGGATGATGAACAAGAATCAGGGCAGACATATTGTATAGCCAAGTATGACTTGTGCTATCCCCATGGCCATAGTAGGATTTCCACAGCAATCCAGAGGAAGTGTGAGGCCGCTGTTTATGAAGTCAGGCTCCAGGGCATGGAGCAGGGTGGTCATCAGGCTGGGTCTCATTTTTACCATCCCACAGGCTCTTTGCATATGACTCCCCCAAAACTCCCTCTTCTTCAGGAGCCTATGCTTCCCAGATGATGTCTAAAGAGACTTGGTCTCTGGGCCTCCAGAGAAGCTGCCCCTCACTCCTAGATGTGGGAGATGAAAAGGAAAGGGTTTCTTGTCCTACTTTTCTTCCCCAAGAATATGCATAAGCCTGAGGGGAAGGCCTTGCTCCTGGTACAGCAGACCACCCTCTCTCTTCCTTGACTCCATTTTCCCAATGAGTCTTTCCCATACCTTCAGTGAAGTTTCATCACTAGGTTGGTGCTAGCTATCTCAAGAGGAAATCCTATAGCACAGAGAAGATGCTAGGGAGAGACTCTAATGTCTTTTTACACTACATTAACCCTTGAGTTCCTATATGCAGATCCCCTGAAGGACTAGAAAGGCCTTTCTCCTCCAGGTTTTAGTCTCTTGGCTTGGCCACTGTCCTATTTCTCCTCCCTGGGGTCCCCCCAAACATTGATGAGAAATCACAGTTGAAAACTATGCACCTTCTCCATTCACAGCTCCTTTCCCAAAAAGATGGAGTCTTCCTCTTCTTTCCACCTCCCACACACTAAAAAGTATTTATAGGGTTTTAGGATTTAGAGCTGAGAGGAACCTGAAAAATAATCTGGCCCATTCCTCCCCACTAGGTGTGTGTGTGTGTATATGTGTGTGTGTGTGTGTGTGTGTGTGTGTGTGTGTGTGTGTGTGTATGTGTTTACAGTTAAGGAATCCAAGGCCTAGCATGGTTTAGCATCCTGCTCAAAGTCACACAGGTAGTAAGGAGGAGAAGAAGGATTTGAACCTAGGGGCTCTGATCCAAATCTTCAAGTCAACCGACATTTATTAAGCACATTCTGTTTGTCAGGCATTGTGGGGATGCAAAGACAAAAATGAAATTATCTCCGCTGTCAAGAAGCTTCTATTCTATAGGGGGAGACTCCATGCACACAATATAAACAAACAAATATCTGTGAAATAAGCTCAAGCCAATTTAGAGGGGGGGGGACCAGCATCTGGGGCCAGGATAAGAGGGGGAGGAGAGAGGTTAGGAAGAGCCTCATGGAGGAGGTGGAGATCAGCTTCAGAGGAAACTTGGGATTCTAAAAAGGAGTGCATTCTTGGCAAGGGGTACAGCCCATGCCAAGGACAGAGAGGAGAGATGGAATGCTGTATGTGATCAAAGAATTGGGGCAGGGGGGCACTAGCAACTGGGGGGGATCAGAAGATGTCTCTGGTTAGAGATGGCACTTGGACTGAGTCTCGAAGGGACCCAAAGCTGTTTGTGTTCTCCCCTCCTCCTTTGGAAGTTCTGCTCTGGACCTCCTCCAGTTACCCCGGGAGAGACAGATCTGATCTGCCGGCTCCATCTCTTTCAGATTGACAGCCAGATGGAAACGTCCTGCCACATTACCTTTAAGTTTGCAGACCAGGACCAGCTGGTGAGTGACAGCTTGGCTCAGCATGCTGAAAACTGGTGAAGAGCTCTCTTCAATGATGACCCTCACCCCAGTGTAGCAGAGCACCTACAGGAGGATGCCCCTCCCCTTCAGCAGGCTTGGCACATCCGCAGGGTCCAGGCTGTAGGGCTTAACATCATACTCCTGCTGTTTCCTCACCTCCTCCGATTCTAGAAAAGAAACAAATGCAGATTATTCTCTAGGCCATGAAATGGGGGCTGTGTTGCCTCCTGGGAACTATTTCACCTGAGCTTAGAGGACTACGATTAGCCAAGGATTCAAGAGCTGAGGAGTTCTTGAGGCTCTGAGGCCTGAGGGAGACAAGCCCCCAGACTGCCACACTGGAATCCATGTAGAGGCTGGTTTTTCTTTTGGTCCTTTTTGGTGTAAGGGCCCAGTTAGCAAGTCTGACTCCTTGGGAGAAAGACAGAAACACATACACACACATACACAAAGAGAGACAGAAGAAGGGAAGGAGGGAGGGAGGAAGGGAAGAAGGAAGGTGAGAAGAAAGAAGGAAGGAAGGAAGGGAGGGAGAGAGGGAGGGGAAGAAGAACAGAAATGGAAGAGGGAGGGAGAGAAGAATGGGGGGAAAGGGGCTGGGCTTTGGGCTCTGTTGGTCCCAGAAACAATTTTCAGGCTCATGTTTTTCAGAAAGATTCCATCTGCTACCTGAAGAAGGCATTTCCCCTGGTCCAGGACATTTTTGAGGAAATCATTCGCTTCAAGGACAATTCTCCCAATTACAACACCTCCAGGAAGCTACATGAGCTCTACCTGAGGCTGAGGGATGATGGGTGTGTCACCAGGGAGCATGAGAAGAGAGATGAGGTTAGAGCTGCAACCTGTTCCATGCCATCACCATCCCTCCCATCCCCTTCACCCTACCCCCAAGTGGTAGAACAAGCAAGGGGGAAAGAAGGGAGGGAGGGAGGGAAAAAAGCCTGGGGGTGGGGAAGGTAAGATGGAACCCAAGAACAAGAAATGGGGGCTTGGAAAGGACCATCTCAACTGGAAAGAGATCCCTCTCTGGGATACAGGTCCAGCTTGGTTCTCAGCTTCACTGAAGACTGAGGAATGTTAGGGATATTCTCTGAACTTTGGTGGGCAGTCTAGCTCTGGGGCCATGCTCTTTAAGAGTGAGGTGATTAAAGATTTTGGGGCAGATACTACCTGGCTTTCCCTCCCCTGTGTTCCTCCTTTGCACCCACCAATCCCCTGCCAGGGCCATGCTCCCTCCCCTCCCCAGTATTGTATGCCTGTGTCTGAAGGATACTGGGAGAGCAATGAGGAAATTAAAGGGAAAAGACACAATAAGAGGCAAGCAGGTCCCTGGCCTGGGCCCTGGGCTCTCTCCAAGTCTTCGCCTCCTCTTCCTCCTTCCTTCCTCTGGCACCTAGTGCTTCTCTTCTCTCTCATTCCTCACATTGGGCAGGGAGGCTGCTAAAGCCCTGGGGCTCCTCAGCCTGCAGCTGTAGGGTGGTGGGTGAGCCGAGGTCCTGGATGCCTCCATCCATCTCCCCTGATATATAATCTCCAGCCCGGACATCCAGTGGGGTTATTTCTTTCATCCAGCTCATGGTCTCAACTCATTCAGAGAAACAGAGGCAGGCAAAAAGGGGCCAAGGGAGAGGGGAGGATCTCTGCACAACACCTCCATCAAGATGTCCCCTTTCTCTTCTCTCTCCTCACCCCCAGGCCTGTGTTAGGACTTTCAATAACACCCCTGTCCAGATATTGGAGAAGGTCCAAAATATCTTTGTAGAAACCAGAAGACTCCTTAATGATGATTGGCGTGTCTTCAACCGTGATTGCACCAGTAGCTTTGACAAATGTGTAATCTCAGGTAAGAGAGAGCTGGGAGATGCCAGAGGAGAAGGAGGGGAGATGAGGAACGGGGAATGGGAGGCAAGAGAAGGGCTTCAGAGGGTCAGGGGGGTTAGGGATTCCCATGGGAGTGGGGGCAGGGCACAGCAATACTTGGATGACTTAGCTAGCCCTGGGGCAGTGATTCTGCCTGAGCAGAATGTGTGTGCATAGCTATTTCCATGAACATGTGTGTGTGTGGGAGTGGTTTTTATGTGCTCATGGGCATTAACAGTCAAATGTGCTTTCTGGTCTGTGCACACACGCATACGTGCTTGCTTGTCTATGCATCTACAGATCTGAAGGGCCTAGGGAGTTGGAATTTTGAGCCTTGAGTGTGAGGGGGTAGGGGGTGCACCTGGGCGCCTGTGTGTGCACAGAAGTTTTGTGTGGGTCATGGCTAGAGGTGCCTGGATTAAGACATGGGGTTCAGGTGAGAGTAGGCTCCAGGAGTCAGGGTCCTTACCCTGGGAACCCTGCTTGAAATTCCCTGGGATGTAGATGATTCTGGAAGGCCTCCACCCCAACCCATGCCCAGGGAAGCCCTTCCTCAGCCTCCCCCAAGTGCAAGTGTCAACCCTAGGGGCGAGGTCAGGATGAGGGGGGAGTGTCACTTTGAACTCCAACCCTTACGCCCAGCATACATGTGCCCTCTCTGTCCTCGTCTCCACGTCCCAGCGTCATGCGTGCCAGCTTGCCACGCCTGTCTTTGTTCCCTGTCTCAGCCAGTACCTCTCTGGTCTCTGTCAGAGATGGGCACTGACCCTTACTACTCCGCCAGATTCTAGGGCCCCTTCCTAGGAGTGGCCAAGGCCTCACGCTTCCTGGTGATGGCTAAGCACATGCCACGTTGCTCCAGCGGGCCTGTGCCTCAGGCTTTCTCACTTGGGCTCTGGCCTGTTCCTTCATACTGACTGGCCAGCCAACCTCTCCCTCTCTTTCTCTGTCTCCCCTCTCCTTTTGCCCTCTGGGTTTCACGAGCCCATCTCTCTGCTGTCTGGTCTGCATGTAGCGCTCTGGGCTCTGGGTGTGAGTGCCTGGCTTGGAGACCATTTCTCAGCCTCCCTCACCTGCCTTAAATCTGTGATTCAGCACCTAGAATCTCAGGGTGGCTGTGGTCCTGTGCTGGCTATTCCCATAACAACCTCTGTGCCCTTAACCGACTCTAGCCTTCTCATTATCTTATCTGTTTCCTCCAAAGCCTGCTTCCCTTGCTCTCTGGTAACTGGACTTAACGGTTTTCATCTCTGTTTCTGGATGGGGCATGTCCAGTTGGCATCCTCTTCCCTTTTCCCTTCTCAGTAACCTAGACGCTGAGTAGGGGGGTGGTGAGGGGACCCCCAGCTTCATTCTCCCTTTCTTGGCACCCTTTTGGGAAAGCTATGCTATAGGCTGGTGACTCTATCTCCCCTCCCCTCCCTCTCTCTCTCCCCCTTTCTCCCTGTGGTTCTTTCAGATGTGGTGACCAAGCCTGATTGCAACTGCCTGTCCCCCAGAGCCACCCCTAGCAGTAAGCTGGCCTCTGTCCCCATCCATAGCTCCCTCTCTCCCTCCACAGCCCCGGTGGCCAAGTTGGCCTGGGGAGACTCTGAGGGGACAGAGGGCAAACCCCTCCTGCCCAGTGACCTGCCACCTCAAACAACAGCCCAGGGCAGTGCCAGGCACCGAGTCCCCCGGAGCACCTGTGGAAGCGTGGAGTCAATGGAGGCTGCGGGCATGCTCTCTGCTTCCCAGTCCCCGGTGGGATCTGAGATGGAGCCCGGGAGCAGCAAGTCTCCCCCTGACTTATCCGATTCCCCTAGGATAAAGGGCCTTCTCAACTCTGACCTCGACACTGACTCAGCTCTAGGGGATGCCTCAGGTGATGTCAGCCCTGGGTCTCAAGAAACAGAGGCTCCCCTTTTCCTGTTGGGAGGGGGACCTACCCAGACAGGGACCGCAGATCCAGATGAGCTCCTCGCCACTCCCTCGACGCCTGTTCTCGCACAGGGACTGCTGGCCCAAGTGAGGAATGACCACCTGCAGGATGAGGGCAGTAACCCATTGGCTGGCCAGGCCAGAGACTATTCATCAGAGGAGATGGATGGAGGTATCCAGGGCCTGAGCTCGCCCACTACCCAGCTGCTGCACTCTGAGGAAACCCAGGGCATCTCCAGCCTCCCCGCTCAGCCTGGTTTCCCCAGAAGTCAGTCCTGGGGCATTCCCCGACCCCAAGAGGAGCTGGTGGGCAAGAGAAGCACTAGGGTCCGGAGGAGCCCCGTCAAGCTGGAAGGAGGAAGAGGAGGCCAAGGTTTGGAGAGAGGCAAGGGCCCAGGCGGGGCCCACAAGGGCTTTAACTCGCTTCCTTTGACTGACACAGGCCCCGAGAGGCAGAATGTGGGAAGCCCTGAACTTCAGCCCCAGGGTTCTTTCTTCTATGTACTGGTATCCAGCATCCTCCTGGTCCTCCTAGCAGTGGGCGGCCTCTTGTTCTACAAGCAGAAGCAGCGGGTAAGAGAGGGGAGGGCAGTTTGGAAGGAGGGAGAGGGGATGGGGTATGTATTAGAATTGGGGACAATGTTAGACTTGAGAATGTTTAGTTTGGAATCAAAACTTGGTTAAATTAGGACCAATATTAGGGTAAGGATTTAGGTTGTGGCTAAGATCAGAGTTTGGGTGTGTCTTAGGGGTTGTGCTGGGATTCTTTAGACACTGGGAGAAATAGGATTGAACAGAGTAAGAGGGACCTTAAAACTGAAGCAAGAATCAATGTTCTCAAATACAGGACTGAACCCGGGGAGATCATGTTGAAAGGGAGGTGGGGTACAGAAGTATATTCATAGGATCACAGACTTGGACTTGGAAGGGACATTAGAGATAAGGAGAGGAGAAATCTAAGGAGTGACTAGATCAATAAATCAATAAGCATTTATTAAGCCCCTACTGTGTGTCAGGTATGGCTACAAATACAAAAAATGAAATGATCCCTTATCTCTAATGGAGAAGACAACAAGTACACATAGAAGAAAGGGGGGGAAGACTTCCTAAAAAAAAGGTCGCCCCAAATGCTAAGGATAAGAGGGTGGTCAGAAAACTCAGATGTGGCAGGGAACTCAGTGACAATGAAGACAGAAAAGAAACAATTGGGTTTAAATAAGAGATTGTTAGAGGTCTTAGTGGGTACAATTTTTATAGAAGGGTAGAAGAAGGATCTGGACAATAATAATAGTTTATATTTATATAGCCCTTTAAGGTTTGCAAAGTACTTTATGAATATTATCTCATTTTATCCTAAAAATAACCTTGGGCAGTAGATGCTATTGTTATCTCCATTTTACAGAAGACAAAACTAAGGCAGAGTTTAAGTGACTTGCTCAGGGTCACACAGCTAGTAAGTCTCTGAGACTAGTTGAACTCAGATCTTCCTGACTCTAGGTTCAACATTATCTATTGTGTCACCTAGCTGCCCAATGAGAGACACTCAAAAACAGTTGCATAGGCAGCTCATCTGAAAGGTTTTGAGATGATTGGTATGAAAAAGAAGAGGATCTGGTGGGAATGAATGAGGGTGAGCTGACCAGACATACTGATACACTGGCAGTAGAGAAGGGGAGATAATAGCAAGAGAGAAAATGGCATGAAAATTGGAATTGGTATCCCTGATATGGGAACCAGCATAAAATGGGACACAAAACAGGATGGAAAGCCCAGAACCGGGGTCAGAGAATAAAAGGACAAGGACTACTGTGGGACCAGCCATCTGTATAACTTCTGGACACTCCCATGGCAGCAGGCAGCTTTAGGGTCTAGGTAGGTGGGGTTGGAGCTCTGACAAAACTTTTGAAGTCCTTGTACAAGAGGAGATTTGGAAGGACAACACTGGCTAGAAGGATGGGACAAGAATGGCAGGATGTTCAGAACTTGTTTAAGTGAATGTGTGCTCGATGGATGGTGGGAAAAAACTTGAGAGCTCTTCATCCAGTTCTCTTAGAAGATGGGGAGGGTGGGGCAGCTAGGTGGTGCAGTGAATAGAGTGCCAGCCCTGAAGTCAGGAGGACCTGAGTTCAAATCCAGCCTCACACCAAACAGTTGACATTAGCTGTGTGACCCTGGGCAAGTTACTTAACCCCAATTGCCAAAAAAAAAAAAGATGGGGAGGGGGAAGGTAATTCTCTTTCCCTTATTCTGCCCTTGTCCTCTACCCTAAACTAACCCTGTTATTTCCTTTCCCCAGAACCGCCAGGAGTTACAACCAGCAGAAATACCTATGGAGCAGCCAGAGATCAGGTGAGTTTGGACGTCTCTGTGACTTGGGGTTGGTCACTTAGAAGAGCCCTGGGTATGCTACATGGGGAGTTTAGGCCCTGCCTGGCTGTACTTTCTCTAGATTTGGAGAAGAGACCCTTACCTTGAATCCTGTTGCTATTCAGGGGATTCACTCATTTGGCTCTGGGCACCCTCTGGGCACCCTCTGTTCAGTAATGTGAGATGGTTTGTGTATTGCAAAGGGGGGCTGGCAGGGGAAGAGGGAGACTGTACTGTGCTGTCTTCCCAAATAGCTGTAGCCTCTTGGCCAGGAGTCGACAGCTTTTTTTGCAGACCGTCCCCAAGGATGTCCCAATATCCTGGGTCCTTTGAATGTGATAATGCTAAGGCTGTGGTTTGTTTGGTTGTGCCCACTGGGCCAGCTGTCCCCCTGCTGGTGCTGAAATGTCATCTCATCCTTTTCTTCTTCCAGAAGCCCCCTAAACCAGGAAGAGGACAGACAGGTGGAGCTGCCAGTGCAGAGGTCGTAATGAGGTGAGGACCTGGCTTTGAGTTCATCCTATCCTCGCCGCCCCCTCCCCACGTGAGCACTCACACACTACTCATTATTATCAGTGGCACCCCAATCCTTTCCCCACATCTTGGACTCGCCTTTGTCTTCTTATTTCCAGTCTACCACCAAGTTCTGCCGAGTCTTTCTCTCCAGTGTCTTAAATCTTCCCTTTTCTCACAGACATTATTCTCGGCTCAGTCATTATTGCCTCTTGCATGAATCACTGCCAAAGATTTCTCTTTGCTCTTTTGGCTGACAGTTCCATTCCTCATTTCCCATTCCCTCATATCCAAACAGCAGCTAAAATAACATTCCTCAAGAACTACTTCCATCACATCTTTACCCTGCTTAGGAGTTTCTAGCAGCTTCATACTGCCATCCTTGTGAAATCTTTGACTGCTCTCCTTTCCCCTATGGACTTAGCTCACCAACTTCATCTCTCCCTTCCTATAATCCTACAAAATTCCTCCACTCCAGCCAAACTAACATGCTTGTATCTGCCCACATGTGATTTGCTCATTCCCAATGTCATGCCTTTAGAATCATAACAACTTAAAGCTGGAAAGGACCTTATAGGTTATATATAGACTAACCTCCCTCCCTTATGCAGGAATCCTTTCTGCAATACCCTTGACAGATGGTCATGCTTGGATACTTCCAGTGACTGGGAGCTCACTACTTTGTAAGGCAGACCATTCCATTGTTGAATAGCTGTAATTATTATAAAGTTTAAAAGAATTTTTTTTTAAATTAAGCCAAAACCTACCTCCCTGTGACCTTTCTTTCTTTGGGCCTAATTCTATGCCCTTTAAAACAGTAATGAATAAATCTATTCTATCTTCCAATTGATAAATCTTTCAAATATTTGAAGACAGTTATTATATCCATCCCCTCCTCCCCTACTCAAATGCTAAATGCTTTTCCCCATGCTAAATGTCAGTTTCCTCAAACATTTCTTATTTGATATGGTTTCCAGACCCATCACCATCTTGACTATCTTTCTCTGGACACAGTCAATGTCCACCTTAAAATGGGGCACCCAGAACTTCACTGATGTGGTCTGACCACCTCAAAATATAGTGGGACTATTGCTTTTCTTTATCTGGACATTATACTTCCACTCAGACCACATTAAGAAAAATGTAAGCTTTTAAAGCAGCTATGCCACGCTATTGATTCACCCTGAACTACTGGTCAACTGAAACCTTCCAACTTTTTTCATATGAACTGTTGTTAAGATAGGCCTCCCTCATCCTACATTAGGGCAATTGATATTTTTTTTAGCCTAAATACAGAACTTTACATTTATGCCTCATCTCATTAGTTTCAGCATAAAATTCCAATCTATTAGGATCAATTTTGGATTTTGATTCTATTATCCATTCTGCCAACTATTCCTCCCAGCTCTGTGTTATCCACAGATTTGATAAGCTTACTTTGATGTCTTCATCCAAGTCTTTGATCAAAATGTTGCACTTCTTTTCCTTCTACGTGACTCCCCTTTCTATTACCAATTTGTGCCTCTCACCTCCTTCAAAGCCTGATTTGAAATGCCCCTTCTCCAAGAAAAAGTCCTTGATTGAACCCACTGATACTAATTGTTCCCTTATCTCGTGTCCCCTCAGAACTTATGTATTCAGTTAATACTGTATGAATTTGCTCTCATTTGGATGTTACTTTGTAAGTGTTTTGTAATGGATATTCTATATGTAATATTTTTCTATCTTTACAAGTAGATTGTAAGCTCCTTGAGGGCAGAGCCTCTCTTTTCTGGGTTTTTTTTTTGTGTGTACTCTTTCCGACCCAAGTGCCTAGTACAGGGCTCTACACTTAGAGAACACTCAATAAATGTTATTGACTGACTGACTTAGGGCAAATCACTTAACCTCTTTGGGCTTCAGTTTCCTCATCCATAAAATAAGGAGGTTGGACTAAATGATTCTACCCAGCTCTAAAGTCCTGTGATTCTATCACTGACTCATTGACTCACTGACTGGGAGCACCCTTTGATGTTACTGACATGTACCCGTGTCCGTATCTAAGTGTGGACCATCCAAGGGGTTAGCACTAGAAACATTAGGAACATGGCAAATATTCAAAGCCATCAGGAGTAAAAAAAAAAAAATAGCCAATGAAGGCATCCTGTCCATGGTAAAACTGTGAGTTCCCTTGGTCCTCCCTTCCCATTCCTTTCCCTCCCCAACAATAAAGTGGTAGTAATAAGAGAACTGAAGATGAATGGACAGGGATCTGTGGGGGATAATATCACTCAGTACCTGCCCTTGAACTCTCCTTAAACAGCTCCTTAAACCTTCCTGTTCCCTTGGTTTATCAGCTTGGTTTTCCCCTACCCCATGCCCCAGTCCTACTTTTTCTCAGAGCTATCACTCAAGAGATTCTGTCCCCATGGACTCAAAGATAAGACTTGGGGTGGGGCGGGGGCAGCATGGGAGCCCCAGCCAAACCCTCAGGTCAGTGAATCTTTCCCTCAGGTGACTCATGGGCCTGGTGCCAGCATCCTCAAGGATACTCAGGGCTAGCCCCAACACAACTGTTTTATCTTCTCCCACAGTCTGCTTCTTGCTCTCAAAACATTCCAATCATAAGGGACCTGGAGACTGGGGCATGAGGAAGTGGGACTTACCCAATATGGCAGACCCCCAGCAGTGTTGGTGTCCTGGCCTGATCTAAGTCTGGTTCTTATCCAATTTATACCATTTGGTTTCTTGTACAGACCCCCCCCACCACCATTGGGAAAGAAGAGGGGATGGGCAGACACTGTGGTCCCATCTCTCCCCTCTTTATAAAAACTCCCCTTGAAATACAAGAGCTCTGTCAGCTGAGCCTGAGACCAGTTTGAAGGTGAGGCTACAAGCTGGGTCTAAAGTCAAACTTTTGGTCAGAATCCAGGGGATTTCTGCCCTGAGAACAGAGTGCTCTGAGAATGCTGGGCCTAGCTATTGGACAAGGGGAATTGGCAGGGTGGGGATGTCATGGATGACATGGAAGGGAGATGAATGCCAAATCCCTCCAAGCCTGGAGTGGCCTTGACCTCTGGGTTCTAATTCCAGATGGGAAAATGAGAATTTCCCTGTTTTGGCCCTTCTGCTGCACTTTTCTATTCAAAGCCACAGTCTCCTTTTATCTGTACATTCCCTGTATTCCTTCATGTTCAAAGATGAACTTTCTAGGGTGCTAGATGTCTGCAGGAAGGGGTGGAAAGCAAAATTCCCTTTCTCTCCTGGAGGGAACGCAGTGATAGAGAAAAGGAAAGTGAGGAACCTAGTAGCAGGGATAATGGGAACTCACCTTGCCCCTTCCCTAGACCCCCCGGTAGGCCAGTTGGAAGAAGCTTCCTTCTGACTGACAAGGAACCTTCCCTCATTGCACCTTTTGTCTTCTGTGGCTGGAGCTTCTGCCAGTGCCTGTCTGTTGTCTTTTGCCCTCTTCTGGCCCTTGGTTTCCTTGGTGGAGACAGGAGATGAGGCCATTCTGGGAAATCGGCAGTGGACTGGGCTCCTGCCAAGGAATCTGGGCTCTTTGTGGTAACTAGGGTGGCTTGGAAGGGGAAGGAGTGAGTGGAAGGAAGTTCTTTCTTGCAATAACTATTAATGTCCCACAGGAATGCAACCCCCATCCCCATGCCACCCCATAGCCTCCTTCCACTGGTGTCCCTAGAGACCTCTTCCTCTTTCTCTACCTCCACCCTGCTCCATGCTGACCAGCCTTTTTTCTCTCCCCTGTAGCTGGGCCCACAGGACAGTCCCTCCATGGGAGGAGAAGCTGTGGGGGCTTCCAGACACCCCCCCCAAGCCCGTTCTCCCAGGATCTCAACCCGCCCACCACGGAGTCCCCCGGCCTGGACTGCACAGGACAGGAGCAGGCGAGGGGGGGAAGCCCTCTACCACTCGTTCTCTGTCCTCTTACTCTTTATTGACTAAGAGAGGAAGGAAGGATGCACAAAAAGCTCCAGATATTTATGATGATGATGATGATTTTGGCCCTGGAGGCCAGCATCCATGCTTCAGGGAGTGCCAGCAAAGGCATGCTCAGAGCCTTCTGCCCTCAGAGACTGACCCACAGGCAGCCTGGGGAGGAAGGGGGACCTTCAGCCCCTCCCATCCCACAGTCCCCTCCAGAATCTGAGCCTGGACCAAGGGAGAAGAGGGCTGTTGGGTAGGAAACAGCCTTTAGGTAGGTGTTTTTTGGGGGGAGCCTGGCCTAGAGTTCCTCATTGCTGCCAGGACAAGAGCTTTTCAGGGAAATGTGCTCCCGTCTTATTTATGAAGCACCAAGAAATCCAGGCTTCCCAGCAAGCCAGAACACGTCCCAAGAGGAAGGAATGCCTCAAGGTTACCAGGGCAATGCAGCTTAGACTTCATTTCCCAAAAAGGGTGCAGCCATCAAGTTGGGAGGAGGAGATGCCTACACCCTGCCATGGGTCTACACAGACAGCTGGGGAGGTGTCTACACCCTTTCTCTGAACCAGTGCTCTCAGCTCCCTTTGAGTGACAACTCTGGGGCCTTACCTCAGGGTAGCTCCATGTTGCATTGAGTCAGGGCTCTTCTGGGACTCAGCTTTTGAGAGGCCCTATTCCCCAAATCTGGACACCAAACAAGATCTGTGTAGGAAAAAAAAAAGCCAGCAATCACCGAGTCCCAACCTACCCCCCACCATGCCCGGGACTCTGCTCCTATCTTCCCTCACAATTGTTAGCTGGGTCCTAGAGCTGCCCCAGAAGAGTTGGGGAGGAGGAACCACCCTCTGATGAAGGAAGCCTTTGCACTGTGAATATTGAATCTTCTTGCTGTACTGGCCTGACCTCTTCCCATAGGCAGCGTCCTGTCAGTCCCTTTTCCCTACCGTTTCCTTGCCTCCTACGCACATGAAGCTCCTGAGCTGGTCTCACGATGATGAAGGGATTCCCCCACCCTTCCCTCCACTACCATGTTTTGGTGTCCAAACGTGATTAGTACCATGGGCTGGCTCTCATGGACTGTGGCTCCCTGGAGAGAGGGTAGATGATACCTATCGGTCTACCTGCTTCAAGCTGAGTCTTGCTGCTGGAAGGCCTTGGCTTCTGTCTCACACTTTGACATTCCCAAAAGAAGGAGGATAGAACTTTTATTTTAATGACTGGAGTGGAGGGAACCATGATGGAACCTGTATCTTTGAACCTGTGTGTATGTCTATGGAGGTGGGGGTTGAAGCTGTGTCTTTGCTCAGTCACTTTTCCCTGAACAGGTCTCCAATTTGACCAACCTCCTTGTTCTCTCAACCCTTTAAGGAGAACAGAAGAGCAGGCCTTCTGACTGGTTAGATTCCCTCTTGCTGCTGATCTCAACGTGATGAGTTTCTCAGTCTTATTTTCACCTCAAACCTTTCCTCCCGGACTCAGGAGAAGTCTTCATTTTCCCTCTTTCCTGTACCCCCTTATTAACTTTCTTCCTAGCCCCTTTTGTTTCCTCCCTACAATCTCTGCTTTCTCTACCTTCTTTGCTTTCATGCTCATCTTCATTCAGACTCCTTTCAAGTTGGGTCCTGCTCTTCTGGCTTACCTGACCTTCCCTTCCCAAGTACAGTCCAGCTCCTCATGCCCCCGAGTCAGGGAAGAGAGCTTAGCTTAGCACCCTCTTGGAACTTGTTCCAAAACTCCACCACTGGTTTAGTGGGTTGGAACCTCAGTTTCTTCATCTGTAAAAGAAGAGGAGTAACCTCTGCCCTTCACCACTATGTGGGAGGGGGTGTGAAGTCATTAAATATTGGAGAAGTGATAAGGGTGGGTGGAAGTGCTGTCTGTTATACCTTCTGCTTTTCCTTTTATTCTACCCCACCATCACTGCCTTACTTAGATCTTCTTGGTCATTTTGCTAGGTTTTATACACTCTCATGAGTTTTCCTGAGCCTTGTTAAGTGGGAATCTCCAATATCCTTTCACCCCAGTCATGCTGAGTTACTCATCCTTACACCCCGAATCTGTAGGGTAAGGACAGTTGGGTTCCCTACCTGCTACTTAAGGTCCAGGATGATATCAGAGATCTTCTAGCCCAAATCCACCCCCTGGGGGTGGTCATATTTCTGCCTCAGAGGGAGCTCTAAGGAGAGGGTTGGCTGTGAGGGCAGAGCCAGACCTACAATAAGGAGAAACCTCCCCCTGGGCCTCATGTTTTTGGCCTCAGCATTTTACTTTTTGATGTTAGGTAAATATCTATTTACAATGAAAACTTTGAAGACACAGAAAAATACGTTTGTTTTCTTTTAAATGTATACTGTGCAAAAAAGGCCAAAACAAGAAGCCCAACATTCCAGATGCTCTTAGTACATTGGTAGGTGAGATGAATGGTTCCTCCCCCAGACCTTGGTAGGTCCCAACATCTGTCTCTTCATCCTCTAATCGAACCCCCACCCCACTTCCCTAGGGAAGACAAGAGGAGCTGGGGCCTTGCACTGTGTGGTTGTTTTTATACTTGGAAATGGTGAATTATTTTATATATAAAGTCATTTAAGGATTTATTTAAAAGAAATAGGAAGCTGCTTGTATATTTAATAATAAATGCAGACAAAACCACATATGTGTCGTGATAAGAGTTCAATTTGAGATCTCGATGAAGCCTGGAGGAGTGAAAACAGGCAAGCAGTGACTTCTGGGATGAGACACAATGCATGAAGTTCCCCTATTACTTATGAATTTGGGTCAGGACTGCAGGCACCCTTGTCAAGTGCCAAACATAACACGTCTATATCCCAAAGTACTGTAACACATCCATCCATAAAAATGGACAGAAACCATCGAGGCCCTTACAACATGCTGTCTTGGAAGGTTATAGTGTCATTGGAAGTCTTCAGGCCAAAGCTAGATGACCACTTGTTGTGGATATATTGGAAAGGGGACTCTTTCAGATATGGGTTGGACAATAGGGAGTATGGTGGATAGAATGCTGAACTCAGAGTCGGGAAGATCTGGGTTCAACTCCCACCTCAGACACTTATTAGCTCTATAACAGTAGGCAAATCATTCTAACTGCCCTCTGCCTTTGTTTCCTTATCTGTAAAATGAGGTGGTCTGACTTAATGACCTCTAAGGTCCCTTCTGGCTCTAATTCTAACTCTGGATGCTCAGTGAGGCTCCTTGTGTATACACCCCTCCCATAGAGACATACACACATGTGCATTATATATATTACATATCTACATATACTTACATACACACATACACACACATATGCACATTTGGGCTAGCTTATGGAACAATGATTGGTTATGTTCCACCTGAATATCCTTATGAGGGCTCTAGGAACAAAGACCTCCTTCACCCTTTGAGTCAGTCAATTCCAAGCAAGGTTCTGGGCCTCTATTTGTTGAATGATTGGAGTAAATTAGTCTAAGACCAGTCCTGGAGCTGAGAGCAAATCATTGCTACTGCCCCTGAAGACTGGCTAGTCAGGGTGAATACCAGGGAGTGGGTGGAGCCAGTTGGGAGAGCCAGGAGAGTACAGCAGGCTGGAGGCTAAGGTTACTGAATTCAGATATAAGAACACTGGTTCTTCTTGATGAAGGGAGGCCACTGGTCAAAGGCAATGCCTTGGGTAGGGTGTGGTACAGGGGTGGGAAATCTTCCGCCTCCAGGCTATATGTGGCCTTCTAGTACTTGGTCTTTTCGTTAAGGGGATTTGTTCTGTGAAGTTTGGATTCAGTCAGAGGGCCACACTTGAGGACCTTGAGGGCCACATTGGCCTTGAGGCCTCAGGTTCCCTACCCTTGGTGTGGTAGCTTCCCCAGGACAGATCAAACCACACACCAAATGCTAAACTATTGGGGGGGAAGGGGGTAGGAAAGGGGGCTAACTCGGGGAAGGTGGGTTTAGAGTTGGGGACTCTAAGCTGGCCCTTAGCAATAGGGTAGTTCTGAGAAGCAATTGCATTTTCCCCTTTGTACACCCATTGCATTTTCTCAATGATGTTTCTTCCTACCATGTTCCTACCAATGTTTAGTACCCTCACATTCTTCTCATTTCCTCCTACTAGATCTCCTCTCAGAAAAGAATCAGATCAGATCATTGACCCTAAGATGTAAAGGCCAGCTTGACTTAGTGTGACCTCTACCAGGAGTATTTGCTAAAGTAATGAACCTCTAATGTAACTGTACTAATGCTACAGTTTTTTTTAGTAACCAACTTTAAGGGCATGGATAGGCAGCAAGATGAAATACATTTGAGGGGTAGTGGGGCAGTGGGGCCTTCTGGAAGTCCAACAGCAGATAGAGCTGAGACACTGAAAGGAGTTATCCTTCTGAAGGAAGCTTTAACCATGTAGCAGTGGGAAGAGTCAGTAAGCATCTCCAGACAGAGATAAGACAAAGGAACTTTGGAGGGTCATGGGAGAAGAACCCAAAAGGGCAGTGCCAGTCTGGGCTTAGAAAGTCCAAGTTTGGGACAGGAAGAAGTGCACACTATAATACTCCTGCCAGGTCTGGGTATGGAAGGGATGGGGGTAGAGTTAGTAATCAAGCTGGGAAAACAGTGGGATCCAGCAGGGACATTTCTTTTGGGAAAGGGAGCAGAAGCCACAAGTTATTTGTAGGACAGTGAAGGGTTTGGAGATAATACAGGGAAGACTGGGGGAAGTAGGGAAACCAAAGGGAGAAAGGAGTTTCTGCTCAGCTTAGTCAGGAACTCTGGGAAGAGTTGTTGGTTGGTAAAGGGTATTTGGGAGTCCCTGGCTTCATGCCTGCAGGCAAAGAGGTTAATCTAAACCCTAGACCACTATCCGGCCAGAAGTAGGAATGGTGAATCAGAGGGGGCCAGGGAGAATTCTGAGGTTAACCTCACACAGACTGAGTGCCCTAGTGGGAGGGCATCCGGGACAAAGAACGTTGGGGTCTGAGCCTGGCATAATGAGATGACTGGGAAATAAAGAGCAGGACCTGGAAGTGGGGGTGGTGAAATGGGAAATCAATCAGTCAATCAAAAAGCATTTATTAAGCACCTACTATGTGCTAGACATTGTGATAAGCACTGGAAATACACTGAGAGGAAAGGTACTGATGAGTTCACTACTTCTTGGATACTAAAATACACCAGCACAACCCTCCCCCCCCAAAATGGTAGCTAAGGTCCTCAAGAAGTTGTCAAGGACAGAGTAGTATAGGGGGTGGGTTTATTCTCAGGAATATGCCTGAGAAAGAAGTCGTATCTTTTCCTGGACAGTCATTTGATAGAAGAAGGGTTTGTTTGAAAGAGCAGAATTTGGCTTCCTTCTTTCTTTCCCAGGCTTCTGGGAGGTGGGAATGACTAATCTCTGTTGCCCAGAGCATTGAACATCTTATCATCTTCACAACAGGAAGTAAAGCAAGCACCTTTGCCAGGTGACCACTGGTCTGGAAATCCCCATTTCAAACTTTCTAAGTCAAGGAGGAGTAGAACAACATCCCCAGGTCATTCTGAGAGAGGGACAGATGTGGCTTTGGTTAAAGGCTGGTAGGTACCAAAGGCAGCCTAGACACATTCACTGTGCTTTGTACATCACTAGTTGCCATCATTGATCCTGGAACCACAAGACTACTACTGTCATGGTATATGCCATGGGCTACTTCAACTTCAGAGGAGTAGGGAAACATTTGGACAGACCATAGGATATATTAATGAATGAAAAAGCATTTATTAAACACTTACTAGGTATTTAGCAGTATGCTAAGTACAAGGGACACAAATAACAAATACCAAAAGAAAGACAGTTCCTGACCTCAAGAAGCTTACATTCTAACGAGGGAAGACAACACATTCAAGGGAACAGTGGCCGGGGAGAAGTGTTTTGGAAAGGGAAGTTACAGAGATGGTGAATGGAGTCAGAGGGTAATTGATTGGCGTGTGCTTTCTGGGAATGGTCATGATGATTTGATTACTATTCCCAAAGGGAGTGCTAGAAAGATAGGGGGAAGAGAGAGTATTCAGGTAGAGGCTTGGCATGAAGGTGGCCAGAGGAAAGCAGTCAGCATGATAGTGCCAGATCAGGGTCGGTATGGAAGGCTCTCACCCATCAGGAATATAAGGCCCTAGGGACAGAGCTAGAGAATCTGGTTGTAGGCATGGCATGAAGGTATTAGGAAGGAAAGGCAAGGCTCAGAGAGCCAGAGCAGAAAAAGAACCTAGAGGTCATTTAGTTCACCTGCATTATTTTAAATATAACAGGGCTTTCTTATGCATGCCCAAATCCCCTAAAAAGGAAGCACTGTGGGAAAGGGAGCAGCTCATTTCTATTGGGTGCATAGCCACCGTTGGTGGAGTTGTGAACTGATCCAGCCATTCTGGAGACAATTTGGAACTATACCCAAAGGGCTATAAAACTGTGCATACTTTTTGACTCCGCAATACCACTACTAGGTCTATATCCCAAAGAGATCAAATTAAAAGACCCATTTGTACAAAAAATATTTATAGCAATTCTTTTTTTTTTTTTGGTGGCAAAGAATTGGAAATTGAGGGGATGCTCATCAATTGGGGAATGGCTGAACAAGTTGTGGTATATGGTTATAATAGGATACTATTGTGTTATGAGAAATGATGAAGGGGACGGTTCCAGAAAAACCTGGGAATCCTTATTTGAACTGATTCAAAGCGAAATGGGCAGAACCAGTAGAACACTGTACACAGTACCATAGTAATGGTAATCAACTATGAAAGATTTAGCTACTCTGATCAATGCATTCATCCATGACAGTCCCAAAGGATTCATAATGAAAAATTACATCCATCTCCAGAGAGAGAATTGAGTGTAGATTGAAGCATT